AAATAAAGTGTAAATACGAAATTTTATATTCAACAAATGATTGCGGTAATTTACAAAAAATATTTTTATAGTCCAGTTTCTTATGAAAACAGTTTTCGCACAACACAGGAAGATTTCCTAATGACTTCAACTCAGATTGTTACATCCGGTTGCTACTCGGACTATCACGCGAGCTCTCACTGATTGATTACTCGATACCTTGTCCTTTTATTTATATCTCAAGCACAGACATCATAAACACAAAATGTGCACGAATATTTTACACACACACAAAAAAATGCTTGACTGAATTTTAAAGTGTGTTAATTGAAGAGTGTAAAGATTTCGAATAAATAAATATGAATGTTTACAAGATGGAGATTAATTTGATATACATTTTAAATGATGTGTCATTTTTATTTTCATTCGTAAATTACAAGTTAATTAAATTATTTTAAATAGGCATACACTCAGTGGAGATATTGTATCTTAATAATTTTCAATAAAAAGAGGGTTTTTTTTTTGTCTGAAAAAAATGTTTGAATAAAGTGTCCGTTATAATTTGAATCTGAAAATTCATTTTAGCAAATGATAATTTATGTGGATTTTTAGTTTTTCTTGAACACTAACGTGAAAATAGACGTTTCCATCCATCCATCCATACTGCATTCATTGACCAAACACTGTTACTAATTTATAAAATCTTTCTTACGGTTTTTCAGGAAATTCGATTTCTATAGGGGACTCCTCAAAACTGATATTTTATACTTTATCTTATCTACGGTCTTCAATCAAATACACGCATATACGGGGTTTAACGAGCAATGTATTGAACCCGTTTATTATAAGTAATTAATCTAGAGCAAAACAAACAAACCTGAACGTTTATAATTTCTTACAAGAATGAAACTAGATCAGATACCAAAGAACAAAATTAGTTATTTGTTGAGGTATCAGATTTAATTATTCTAATGATTGCATATTGAATAAATGTATTTATTTATCAAACCACAAAGTGATCACTTCTAGTGTATTTTCTGGGATTGTTAACTATATCAACTTTATATAAATATAAAAGTAGACATTGAAGTCAACATCCAGTAGCGTCAATATTCTTCATGCTTATACGCAATCATCAGGCCATATGCGTTGTGGTTTTGCTCTACTATTTATATATACAAGTCAGGGATTTATTGTGGTTTTGTCTATTGTATTGTTCTAACGGTTATGGAAGTTGGTAACCGTTATGTTTCGTTATCCTATGGGTTATTGGGTGGAAATAATTGTGGATCCGGGTGCAGTTTTTTTGGCTATTTATAACTTGTCTATTTATTATTTATTGTTGGTTGCTATTATTACGTTTACTTGTGTTTATGTGTGCGTTCGTGGTTTGTTAATTTGTTTACTTATTTATTGGTTTATTTTACTTATTTTTGTTAAATTAATTTTATTTTTGTTATTCTCGTTCGTTTTTTAGTTTTCGATTTTTAAGTAGAGTAGTAAAAATTTGTTTTCGCGTCTGCATTTGGAGGCAAGCTTTCATGAATGTATAGTTAAAATGGCTAGATATAACCGTAAGGTTTACGCTAACAGTTTCTTTTCTCGTACTTCTCGCCTGTGGAACTTGACAGGATATTATTATTATAAATATAAAATAATAATGAAAATTCTAAATAAAATAAAACAATAGCATTTTGTATAAAATAAACTGAATAAAAATTAAAAAATTAAAAATACTCCCAGCATGCGACAAAAACTGTTCCTGCCGCTAATAATGTCATCCCGCCAAAAGACGTTAAATTCAATCTCTTCACCACGAATCTTGGTACGGGAAACACGTGTCTGACTTCTCTCTGTGATATGTCTTGTAATACTACAGAGTAAATTCTCCCTTTTATCACATGTACCATAAAACAATTCTAACCTAAAAATGCACACACCAATACACAAAAATATAAATAAATTTTATGAAATTAACATACAATTTAGCATGCTTTTCCTGTTATTTCTGTACGTTTTATTTCCTGTCAAGTATGCTTTTATCTCCGTGAACACGAGGCTAATTTCTACTACTATGATGTGCGAACCACTATAAACTCTTCCGTCTTCTTGCTTTCTAATAAAGTTTGATGTTCGAAAATGTAAAAAATGCAATGTCAATCTCCTTTCCTGTTTTCTTAATACCTGCTCTTTTGTTCTAATTACTTAATGTTTTTCTTATATTCTTTTACACTCGGTAACCCCGTCCCTCCTCGTCTTAGTGGATTTATTGTCTTGCTTGGGGCGAAATGATTAAAAAAAAAAATTGAATTCAGTCGGCATCTCAGCTTCTATTTCTGTCAATTCTCCGGTCTCCTTTCCAACGTAAATATTGCCTGACACTGACATGTTTGCACAATGCGATTCCTGAACAAATACAACGATGTATGCTCCAGGGTTTTAATTTTGTTCTATTGTATGCGTTTTTTTTTTTAGTAGATTCATTTTCTACAATTCACTGGAGAAAATATCTTGTTTTAACTTCCACTGGCTCATCTATCGAAGCAACGTAGCTTAGTGATGAGAATGTTAAACTGAAAGTTTCAGTGTTGAACTTTATTCTAGTGAATGTGTTTGCTTGATTGAACTTCAGAGGATTTCCATCTATGACATTATTTACTTACTTATCGTAAGGGCTGATAGACAAGGTGAAGGTCGTGTATCATGCCCGCGCTCGTCAATAAATATTTTGGTAACATAATGCTAATTAATCAATAAACGTATCATTTTTTTTTGTCATAGAAAAAATCGTTATGAATGTAAAATTTTACTTCGTAATTCTTGAAGATTATTTTGAAAAGCTGGTTGGGACTTTGAAAATACACAAAGATATATAAAAATACATTTTCAAATGCCCTCTACAATTTCATAAAGTCTAAAGTTAGGCACAAAAGACAAAACCAAAACAACAGACTTGGTATCGTTCTTCAAGCAGACGTAGTTGTAAGGATACCACGTGACTTTTCGCAGCCAACGCGAACAACAATAAATATCAAATTTTAGATGTTATTTGGAGCTTATATAACGGATCAAAAAGCCAACTGGTCAACTCACAGTAAGCACACACCGGAACATTGCCAAACTGTTCATCTGTCGAACTCTCTGCCCCGAGCAGAGAGGAACCCGGACGAAGCTTTGCCGCAGGGCAAAGTTTCGTCCGGGTAGGTAGACAGGGCCTGAACCCGTTTATGCGGCTTCAAAGGGAATATTTTTGGCCGAGCCTACGGACTCGGAGAACCAACGGTAAACATACATCCCTCGTAGGCGGGCTAAATATTAACAGCAAGCACACACAGAAAGAGCGACCCAGTGGGATAAAATACTACTCTGCACGCACACACACACAGAGACAGAGACAGAGAGATATATATCTGGAAAAATACACTCGCACACATGTCCTACACACAAGCCACCAATCTGCCATTGAGTGGCATGCCACTAGCGTCGCCCGTTATCGGACCGCCAGCGTGTTTCTCTCGACAATGTTACCACTGGCGGACCGCTAGAGAGAGACCGGTGATCCGCTGGTTTTGCCATCGGCGTCCCGCCATTGGACCACTAATGTCTTGCGTGTAGGGTAAATATAGACAATACTTCACACCTACATATAGTACGCACACACAAACATTTGATTTTGCCGGACTATTTCTCTATGGTCTTTATAAACTAACTTTCTGCGAACGTCTTTTCTCTTGTCATCATCGTTGTTATTAAATTGTATTCAAATTTGCCCGACAAGGTTTTATTCTTTGTTTTGAGAATGCGAAGGATCTTTTGCCCTTTCTTTCTCTCGTAGGTTGTCGGCCGAAACATCACTTCCACTTTAAAGAAGACAACCAGTAAACGTCTTCATTCGAATATCAAAAACAAAGCCACCAACAATCAGCAGTAACACAGGCAACAATCTCAAGTGCATACGTTTCTCAAAAAATTATCGATGATCTATGCCTTTTAATTCCGAATATTATCCTCATTTTAATTCTTATACTAGACAATGTTTCAATATTGTATCCCCGGCCTTCTTCCGGTGTTTTTCGTTGTTGGAATTTTGAACTGCATTTTTTATTCAATTCAAGAGAGTAGATTGTTCTCATTCTGCTTTTACATACTTTCAAGTGGATCTCGTCCTGGGTATGACGATAAACTACATCCAACAGCAAAACCTCTGATCAAGAGATTGGAAGTTTTGAGGAACCTGCAACGACCTCTTAATTGCTGTTCCCAGGTTCACTCTGACCAGTAGTAGTAGCACCTGTTAGGGTCGCAGCTATGGGTAAACAGCGACCCCCCCCTAAACAAAAAACACTATGAAATATAAAAATACAATCAATACATTTTATCTGTAGTTGATGGCATACAATTGCGTTCAAAATATATTTAGCTGAATTCTGTTCAAATTATTTAGATTTCGGCATTAAATAACCCAAAGTGGTTGATATGCCGCTAACCAAAAACAATGAATGAACTGTGGCATTAGCCATTATAATATCGTACAATTTTTTTAAATCACACTATATTCCAAAATACAACTTAAAAAATAACCACAATACAAAACATACATATCCACACAAACTAGTAAATGCACAAAAGCTGAGTATCATCTACCATGTATTAAATTGTGAAAGCGGAATAACATTTTTATTACTTCAAAGCTCCCAAGAAAATTAAATTTCGATATTAAATGACCCACAAGAATGTCGATATGCCATTAAACAAATCATTCAACCAACCATCAAGTGGATAAGAAAGAACACTCAAAAATGTTTACCTTTGGCGTAGATGCACGAGGTTTAAGGCTACAAATTGGCAAAGAGGCACAATGGCAAGGTTAGTGAATTAAAGCGTTGTTCCATTGGCAATTGTGATTTTAGTCCCCGGGTCGGGTGATGCCATACACATCGGTTCAATAGATGAAACAAGCAAGCGTTGTGAACGGTTGTGAATTCAGAGTTGTCCTTCTCTAGAGAAGCCAGTCTGCACAGCTATTGATTGATTGATAGATAGAGAAAAAAGAAAAGAAACAGAGAAGGCGAGGGAGAAAGGGAAAGAGAGAGAGAGAGAGAGAGAGAGAGAGAGAGAGAGAGAGAGAGAGAGAGAGAGAGAAAGAGAAATGTTTTAGTAAATAAATAGCATTCTACTTTCAATCCTATAATCTCTACAAGTCTCAACGTGCATCGCATGATGCTCTTTGGTGCATTATCTTTGATGTTAATATTGGGTTAGAGATGGTTTTGTTGCATTCAACCAAAATTTCTAACGTCACGGAGAAATATTTTTTCCTGTCGCTGTCATCGATTTGACAGTCTTTGAAGAGAAGACGCTTTAGTTAAAAAAAAAAAAAAAAAAAAAAAAGCACATCGCAAAGGGAGACGATAAAAATGAACGTACCAGTCGAGAGAGATTTTACATTTTCTTAGGCGTGTGCAAGAGTTTCTATTCAAACGCGTGCATTCAGTATCTTATTTACGAACGAGCGCTGGGAACTTTTGCACATATTAGACAATTATTCACTGCCAACCACATGCACACAAAAAAGGCGCTTATAAATAAAGCGTACATACGTGTGATCAGATTAATGCGCTGAATACGTGTGTCGTCTGAAAAAAAAAAATATTCACTTTTGTTCACCCGATATTCTATGCGTTGATGAGCCACCACATTATAATCAACCGCAGGCGGTAAGAATTATAGCTACGGTCTCGTAACTGTAGTATGTCTGGGTCAGAAGTATATAAATAAGTAAGCCGGGGTTGAGTACTTCATTTTGATGGATCAAATGCTGTAGATGAGAAGAAAGATTTTGATGAACACCAAATTGGTTTAAGGACAAGCTCAGAACATTTCCGAAACAGCACGACTGGTTGGATGATCACACACATTTACGGTGATGACGGAAGCGATCATGGCTCGCCACAATTTCCTCTTTGTATCTCTTAGAAAATTGTTTATGCTATTTCTTCTAATCCCAATTCTGCCAGCCATGTACACAAGCACGTTGTTTTCCTCTATCCGTCTTTCTTTCAATATGCCCTGTGAGTGTCAAATATTCTAGGCCCTCTTTCCTTATGTCTGCACTGTCGGCTGGGGCTTCAGAATACGCCAATTCCACTTCTGCAGGAGGATAAGAAAATGAGGCGTCCTGGGTAAGATGATAAACTACACCCAACAGCAAGACCTCTGATCAGGAGATTTTGAGGAGCATGGAACCACCTCTTAATTGCTGGTGTTCCCAGGTTCACCCTGACCAGAGATGATAGCACCTGTTAGAGTCCCAGCTATGGGCAAATAGTTAATTTATATTGATGATTTTTATTGCAATATTTTGTTAAAGTTGTTAAGCTCAAACATTTAACGATGCGATAGGGGAATTTCTATGGATATTTTATTGTTGTAAAACTCGCCGTGAGTTTATTCAATCGTTAACTTATGAATTATTCATTAGAAAATTCAAATAGAAAAACCGTGACGTTTTCACAGTGCTTTCTAGTGAAAAGAAATTTTAAAACGAATAATTGTTTCAGATTGCATTAACTATTGTACATGTAAAACAAGGACGCATTTTCTCACTGGGTTTATTCAACCTATGCAACGAAACGACCCAATGGGTATTAGAAGACATAGAAGAAGGTCGTGTTGAATGGACCCGCTTTTAGTTCGTTTCATATTAATGCATGGGGTCACCCTAGGGCTCTATCGTCGGACCTACGCTGTTTCTGATCTTCATTTAACGACCTTCCCGATGTCATCCGTTCCCAACAAGGAACTGTATGCTGATGACACTACTATTTACTCCTGTTTTAATAGTAATTTTGACAGATCCGACAATGTAAAACTGGAAACTGCTCTAGAAAATGACCTCCAATCAGTGGTTAACTGAGGCAAGGAAGGACTTGTAAATTGTATTGCCTCCAAAACAAAACGGCTTTAATTTAATCATCACAGAGAAACTGTTCTGCCCGCCATCAGCATGGTTGATGCTAAACTCCATGGTAGCAACAATTTTCACCTTCTCGGATTCCTGTTTTTCACTGACATGAAGGGGAGTGATTATATTGAATCAATTGCTAGATCTATTGCAAGGAAAGTTGATTCACTATGTTGTACCAGACAATACTTTACGTCAGAATCCCTCTTGCACATTTATAAATCTACCATTCTTCCGTGCCTTGAATACTGCTGCCATATCTGGCCTGGTGCTCCTACTAGATATCTCAAGTCAAAAGACTTGTAATGTAATCGAACCTGACCTGGCATCTCGGCTTCAGTCACTTTCGCACTTTTTGAAAAAAATATTTTCATGGCAATTGTTCTGATGAGCTATTCTCTTTAGTGCCTCGACTAAATGTATTTGAGTGTGCTGCTAGATTGACAATTAGGTCTCATTGATTTATTGCTGAACTAGCTATACGAAACCGTCTCTTCTATTCTAATAGTTTATTTCTCGCACTTTACACCTGTGGAACTCCTTTCAGATTTCTTGCTTCCCTGGCATCTACAATCTTCAAAAATTTAAATGCAGCGTCAATTGCCTTCATCTGTCTTCCTGAAACTTGTTCCTTTATAGTCCTTTTGCTCACCTCTCCTCACTAAAGTCTTCTCATTCTCTTTGACTCCCTGTAATCCCCTGCACCCTAGTGGCATTATTGCATTGCTTAGGGTGAAATAATAAAAAAATATATTACTAGTGAACATTATCTTAATATAAGATCTGCGGTTGACACTACTGAAGGAACCTGAAAAATAAAACTTATAACGAAAAACAAGAAGCAAGAACTATTAAGCATAAGAAAACAGAATCCCTTTGTCTTCAACAACAGGGAAAGCTCACAAGGGGATGCCAAGGGTACCTCGACGTGGTGTAGTGTTTAGTAAGCTTGTCTTGCTAGGACTGTTACAACTGAGTAGTGAGTTCAATCCCCACTGGCTGCCCCATGCTTTCGGCTTGTGCCACATCTAAGCTGTGCTTAGAAAATCATTTAAGGGCACCTCGAGGCGATGTAATGGTTAGCAAGCTTGTTTCGTTAGAACAATTACGACTGATTAGTGAATTCGATCCTCACTGGATGCCCCATACTTTCGGCCTTGTGCCACATCTAAGCTACGCTTGGAAAATCGCTATAGGGGATGCCAAAATCCATTAGGTATAGAAATATAGTTTGGGACAGTGTAGTAACAAACGACTAAAAACGCGTTGAATTGTTATGTAATATAAAATCGCCTATGTAACAGTAAATGGTGGTTTGGTTTGTGTGTTTTACGGCATATCAACCTCAATGGGTTATTTAATGCCGACAAAATTTTAATTTCTAGTAATGTTTTCCTTCTAAAATCTATTTCTGGGAACATTTTTCCTTGAAGAAATCTATAGCTGGTTATATTTTTTCCAAAGCATCTATAGCTGTTTGTATTGCTGGTATTTCTTAAAGTATTGCTGATAATTTTTCCTTCAAAAATTATTGCTGGCAATAATTTTTTTATTACAAAGTATTTCTAGTATTAAAACCTATTTTTAAACAAGTTTGGGAGTTAACTATTTGCCCATAGCTGGGACCCTAACAGGTGCTACCACCCCGGATCAGGGTGGACCTGGGAACAGCTCCTCAAAATCTCCCGAGCAGAGGCCTTGCTGCTGGACGTAGTTTATCGTCTTACCCAGGACGCGGATGTAGTTTATTGTCATACCCCGGACGGTGTAAATGATGGATTATTGAAGAGATTTGACAGAACACGTGAACAATGAGCGAGACTTAAGAAAAATAGGAACTGAAAGGAAACATTTACTGTAAAAAAAATATAGATACAGTTGTCATTTCTGGGTGACATAAAAAAGGAGCCTTAGAGAATTTAACACTCACAGGACTGCAGGGGAAAAAGCGTGTAACCTACGTAATGAGATTGTATGAATGGATGACAGAACGGATGACAAAAAAAAAAAATGGACGGCAAATGTTCAGATATTAGAATAGTAAAATACAGGAAATTATGAAGAGCTATGATCAACAACGTTCTGAAAGGGTTTAACATTTAGAAGAAAAATGTTTTTATCGGTAGTCTGAGGATGAGAAAAAAAAATCAATCGCCGACAAGGCACTGAGTAAACCAGACTTACTAATACGGGAACTGAATAGAGGCTTTCCTACCAAGTAAGAGCCAACAGAAATGCTATAATGGTATAGCAGATAGTTTTAAATCAAGGTGAAAGACGGGATGAATCCCAATCCAACACATCGATCTTTGTAAATAAGGCTGCATAGCTGCAGGCCAGTCAGGGGATATTGTTAACCAATGTCCATTGCCGAAGGCGTCTTCAATAGGCATGTGAACATCGAAATAGAACCTCGCATCAGCGGAAGAAGGTCACTTGGTCGGAGGAATTCTTTTATTCGGAATAAGATGGACGACAGGATACGCTGCTATATTGGGGGAAGCAATGGTACTAGGATGCACGGATGTAGATTTTTTTTTTTTAAAGCCGGTAGAAGTAGTGATGGTCTGACGAGAACACAGGTTCCTATGATTACTGTGGAGGGTAATTTGTAACGTACCATCTACCTCAATATCACTGAAAAGCCAAGAACACTTATGGTCACAGATAACGATAATGATAAATAAACAAAACAATGCGCCTTGCTATGTGACATTATGATTGGAATAGCCCCACATAAATGAAATGTGTGTATCTCAATTTCAAGTGTTTCTATATATATATATATATATATATATATATATATATATATATAACAGAACTAACTATTAACCGTAAGAAAACAGAATACATGGTCGCCAACAAAAGGGACAGCTAATAGTATGAATTATGTATTGAGGAAGTCAAAATTAAGCATACATTTTTATGTCAAAATCAGCGGACATATTTAAAGACTTTAGTGGCATCCACGTGACCAAAAAAGAAAACACGACGAATAAATAAATAAATAAAAGAAAGCTTTTTGTATCAAGTGACAACAAAGATAGACATTGATGATTTCCGGTTGCTGGTTTATATTAACATTTGAAGTTTAGATTGAAAATTCAGTTCCGGCCCGTTGTTGGCGCGTGTCAGACCGTTCCTCGGGAACTTCCGACACCGCCTGTTTGTGTTACAAGCCACACGTCGTGATGTTGAAATGAGCATCATGTTGGTAGTAGAGAAGAGCTGATCCACGAGTCCGACATAACAGAAATTGTCTTTGAGTGTCACTTTCATACCTACCCAGAACGAACCAACGAAGCACTGAAAATTTCTCGCCTCGATATTTTTTAATTTTTCACATCCTTGCGAACGGACTTTTCCCAGGTTTTGGTGCACGTCGACACGAACAGGATTGGAGATGCAACTTGTGGGTAGACGTTGGCTGATCGGTGGAAAGGTTGGTGAGTGTCCCGTTGTATGTTTACAGCTATACTGAAAAACTGCATAAGAATGTTTCGAGAACATTAATATTTCATTTTATTACACTTCAGATTCCCCAGTTCTCAGTCCCATTGAGCACTTATGAGACGTATTGGATTACTCTGCCAAACAACCACCACGTAACTTTCAGTAGTTAAAGGACCTGCTAATATCTTGGCACCAAATCGCAAAAGAAAACATTCGATGTCTTTTACAGCCGATGGATGATCAGGTAAGAGCAAATTTGCTAGAACATGGAGAACCTACATTTTATTAAACAAAGACTATTTTGTTTTACTAATGCATGTGTTAAACAAACCACTATGTAAGTAATTTTTCAATATAATATTGTATGACACATCGTCTTGCGGCTTAAATATAAATAAATTAACGAATATACAGTGACACGCATAAGTATTGGATACATGTTATTTTCTGTTATAACTAGTTTATGTTCGCCATTTTGCCTGATATTTGGTAAGTAATATTTTAGTTGTATGCGGAAGGAAAATTAAAAACTAATGGCGAACATAAACTAGAGTTATAACAGAAAATAACATGTATCCAATACTTATGCGTGTCACTGTATAAAACATAATAATTTGACTAATGCAAATAATTATTTTTCGTCATCTTGACACACGTTTCGAGTTGAATGCACATTGTATATCACAGTGATTTCTGATCTTTTGCAACTTTCTAAATATTTCTAATCAGTCCCCTCCAAAGCTCTCTGTCCTTTGCAAATTTAAAGAAGTGTTGCAGTTTTTCCAAGCTCTTCAGAGTTTTTACGAGAAGGATGGAATCTTATTGCGAGTACATTTAATGTTATTATTCAGTGTGTATACTATGAATATGTCTACTGAATATATTCTTCCATTTGGTATGGATGACCGAACCAATTCCATAATATTTTCTAAAGCTATTAATTTGTAATGCGTAACTCCGATATTAATATCAAGTCCTTCTTTGATTTGGGTTTCTTGGAGATTCCATACATCAATTTTCATAACTATCAACGTTCCAAGCCAATAATTCCTGCTTTTCTTTTTTTCCACAAGTCTTCAAACATTAAATGTCCTGATGGTAAAATGTTTTTATAAAAATTGGAGGTATATACAAAGTTTTAAATAAAATCAATTGCCAACTTTTAACGGTTGACAACCGGAAAAGTCATTACATTCTCCAACAATTTCTTTTAACCACTAAAAATGTTAGTTTGTACAGTTTACCATATTTAGCCCAAATTATTAGCACGAAAGTTTTGAATAAATGTAATGGCAATCAGACATTCTCACTTTTATGTAAGCTCGAAATACAGTTAAATTTGTTTTGTGGCAGGAAATAAAAAAAAAAAAAAAAAAAAAAAAAAACTGAGCCAATGAGATTTTAAGGAAATAATTTGAAACCCCTACTAATAAACAGTCAAAATCAGTCATGTGTGTAAGGTTTTCTCTCATGGCCATCTGTAACATATAGTATTTGGGTGGAATGACTGGATGGTTATATAGACACACCATCATTTATTTAACAAGCGTGGGAAACAGAATCAAATTCGAATTTCGGTTTTATTCAACTGGCTCTAATGAATCAAGGAAAGGCATAAACCCAAATCACCCTACACACTATCAATTGGCAGATATATATATATATATATATATATATATATATATATATATATATATATATATAGATATATATGAAGAGAGAGAGAGGGGGGAGAGAGAGAGAGGGGGAGGGGAGAGAGGGGGGGAAGGGAGAGAGAGAGGGGGGAGGAAAGAGAGAGAGGGGGGGGGGAGAGAGAGAGAGGGGGAGGGAAAAGGAGAGAGAGAGGGGGAAGGAGAGAGAGGGGGGAGAGAGGGGAGGGGAAAGAGAGAGAGGGGGGAAGGGAGAGAGAGAGGGGGAAGGGGAGAGAGGGGGGGGAAGGAGAGAGAGAGGGGGGAGAGAGAAAAGAGAGAGGGGAAGGGAGAGAGAGAGAGAGAGAGAGGGGAAAGAGAGAGGGGGAGAGAGAGAGAGAGAGAGGTGGGGAGAGAGAGAGAGAGAGAGAGGGGGGAGAGAGAGAGAGGGGAGGTGGAGAGAGAGAGAGGAGGGGAGAGAGAGGAGGAGGTGGGAGGAGAGTGAGTTTTTTTCCAATAACTTCAATCTGTGGCCAGGCAGTAAAATTTTGCTACAGTCACTGTGAATGTTATATACATGCGCAGATGTGATAGGGCCAGATCATTTAAACATTTCATACCGTATCCCAAACGAATCTACTAAATCTAGAAAACAGCGTTTCTGCTTTTTCCACCCAAGTCAAAGGTACTGATGAGAGCTATGCTGATGTGTTAGTTATTCATAGTCGGGATAAGAATGATCTGGTCTTCTCCCCCTCCCCACCACAAAAAAAAAAAAAAAAAAAAAAAAAAAAAAAAAAAAAGTCAAAATCCTTTATAAAAAGTCTAAGAACTAGGACTCAAGTTAAACGTTTTCCAGACAAAAACTATGATCTGGAATTGGAATGAATACATTGATGACACGTGCCCTGTATCAGTCATAAAAAAATCAGACTGTGGAGTTAGTAAATATTAAACCCTTCAAATATCTCAGTGTATGGACCGGTTATATAAAAAAAAATTAGTATAGGAAATAAGGAAACTGAACACAAAATAGGTTGTGCTTGGGGTAGTTTCACCCATCACCACAAGTTGCTACAAAACAAAAACATTTACCTAAAATCTAGAGTCATTTTCTTAAATCGCCTCGTCAAATCGAGACTTTAATTGGGATGTCCTGAATGGAACTACTAAATTGGTTCAGAAATGTCTAAACTGTTAGTTGTATACAACCGCTTTCTTAGATTAATGATTAAAAATGGCTTTTAGTAGGTTTTAGAGAGGACCAACCTTCTTTGAATTTCGTGCAAAGGCGTTACAGAATCACAAACAAATAGCTGTAACAAATAACAAACCACATCACTCGAGAATATATAGTTAAAATAAGGACATAATCAAAATGTGGATGTTCCACACGACATCAAACAAAAGATTAGGAAGGAAGTCCCCATCAGTATTACAAAGAGCGACAACAGTTAGTGGACTTAAAACAATTTTTCAGGAAAATAGGCTTAAAGATTTTAGAAGTACAACCGACAGTAGCACTGGCTACTTGGTCAATGAATGTGAAATTTTTCCGCACAGGGAAACGGATAATATTACCATTAGTCTTAATATTACCATGTCTTCTCAGGAAGACTTAACTACAACTTACAAAGACGACATAACCAACATTTTTCTTTTATATATTGCCCATTAACTTAAATATTTATTGCTACCAAAGTACCGTCACAAATATTGCTTCTTTGTGTGTCCCTTCAGGATGTTGGTGATCATGGCTCTCCATGATCTTCCTACCTTTCGTAGCTCTTAATAAATTTTGTCTTGTTATCTCTCCTAAATCTTGTTCCGTCAGCCATTTACACATGCTCGCTACGTAGGTTATATGTTGTTTTCCTCTATCCCTCTTGCCTTCAGTCTTGTGGGTATAAAATTTTCTAAGCCTACTTTCCTCGTTATATGCAGTAGAAATTTCAACTACTTTCTGATGTTAAGTAAAAGTGTCCTTTTTTTGTTTCTATTTTCTTTAGAAAATTGTCGTTGGTTACATGTTCGGTCCACAGTAGCCTCAGCATCCTTCTGTAGAACCATATTTATGTTGCTTCAAGTCACTTCCTCATCTATGAGAAGATCGTCCAGCATTCACCGTCATATAGGACGACTGATATTAGATAACAGTTCAGCACTCTTTTCTTTGTTTCTAACGAAATTTTCCTGTTTCTTAATACTTTGCTTAGTTTTTGGAAGGCATCATTCACTATACCAATGCACCTTCGGATTTCAGTGTCGCACTTTCTGTCCTCTGTTGAAACACTTCCCAATTTCTGTTCTTGTTTGATTTTGCTCGTAATATTATTTTTAAAGAAATGTCATACGCTTCAAGACGCAAGTAGTAAAGACTCCACAGCTTCCCCCTGTTTCTGAATTGCCATGACTGGCGGTCATCCACGGTTAGAAAACCCAGCCTACTCTGCTATTTGACTCATTGCTAGAATAGAGAAAAGAATTAGATTCATGCTTTTCCAGATATTTTGGAATACATTTTGATTCCTTTAACAATAGGATATATGGATTAATGTCTTGAAAGATTTCTTCAGGTTTGGTTGGTTGATTAATTGAGGGAGTTTAACGGCATACCAACTTCTATGGCCTAAAATCTAAATGTTTTGAGCGCAATTGTATGCCTTCAAATATAGATAAAATATATTCTTAGTTGTTTTGCTATAAAATGTACGAAATGTCATCTTTCTATAAATATTTATTGTTGGTTATTTTTTATATAAAAATGTATTGCATGTATTTTTATACTTTCATGATGTTTTGTTCGAGGGTTCGGTATTTGCGTACAACTGGGACCCTAACATTTCCTACCAGCCCATCTCAGAGTGGACTTGAGAACAACTAAGAAGTGGTTGCACGCTCTTCAAAAATCTGCCATGTCCCGATCAGAGGCTCTGCTGCCGGATGTAATATATTTAGAATTAATTATCGTATTTTTTAAAAAATTTATCTGTTTTATCTTTTAGAAAAGCCAAAGCCTAAAATAATCAAATTTTCAAAAGTTCATAATTAGCTGCTCATGCTTCTTACCTGACAGGTAAACACGTTGTGAATATTTGACGAAAGAGAAAGGAATTTGGAAAAGTAGCGAGAACAGAATGAATGTGCCAATGATTTTTTTTTCTTCCAGTAAGGGTTTTATCTGAGCCCGTTTACAACAGTCAGAATATTTTGACTTCACCCTATAACGAATCGGATGAGGGTGAGGGCGACATAGGTTGAAGTAACGTGCACGTAAACGTTATAAGTTATGTTGGTGTGGATTTTCGAGTAACCGTGGCAGATTTTCCATTTTTGGTTCTCTTTGATTGGTAAAATGAGTGGCTGAGATATTTGAGAGTTCACGCGAGCAGCCATTTTTCGCGCTTTCATTCTTTTTTAACAAACGTTATTTACATTAACACAAGTTACTTTCCCAGGCTAATTCGCAGCACGTAATTTACACATTTATTTACAATGCTTAGCATCGTACGGTACAAGGTCAAAACGTTCGAGAAATGAGAGCAAGAAAACTGTGTTGCGCCAATTTTCGAAAAGTATTGGCTTTCTGGTTTTGAAGAATCACTATTAGATTTTTTTTTTTGCCTAGCCTCAAAAACTTGCTGACAGATGACAGCTAGGTCATTAGATAATCCTGTATTAACTCAGTTTAGCCAGACATGAGAGACCTATTGTGAATCGAACTATCTATAGAGAGTTCAGTTTGTTAAAAATTGCTCTACAGCAAGCGCCTATGATATTTACTAAGCTCAGCTTAGTATGGTACAAGCCTAAATGCAGGGAGATAAAGAGGAAGGTTGTTTTGCCAATCAAGAAAATCTGTTTACTGTGCTATCATGGCTCTCCACGACTTCCTATTGTAGATCTTACCAACGTTTGTCCCTTTACCATCCCTTTCCCCTTCATTCCGCCATCCATTCACACAAGCTCGTCAAGTTCTCTGTTCTTGCTCCTTAGAAATGTTCCGGTTTCTAACTCTTTGACACCCAGTAACCCTTTGTGTTTTGGTGGCTTTGATGCCTTACTTGGGGTGATTTTGATTTAAAAAAATAAATATCTTTTCTTTGTTTTTAATGAAATTTTCCTGTTTCATAATATTTTACTTATATTTTGGAATACGTCTTTCAGAATTCGGCGTCCCATTTCCATCTTTTGTTAAAATTCCTCCTAGATATTTAAGCTTCTGTACTTGTTTGATGTCGGCATCTCAAATTCTTCCTTCCTTCCAGTATCTTGGGCTGTTTTTCTTGCTGAGAACCAGATATTCTGTCTTCTTACTGTTGATAATCTTTTCTTCGCACTTTTACTACTTTGTCTTGGAAGTCCTTTTCCTTCTGTGTCATTAACACAGTGACATCTGCGTATCTTATATTGTTAAGATTGCACCACCGCCCTTGATAATAAGTCTTGGTAGGGTCTCCAGCTCCCTTTGGACAACCTCCACGAGGCAGATTCCAGATGCTTGTCGAATTAAGTTTAATTCAGTGACGATAACAACTTACTTGACATCGAAACAATTATGATAAATGCAAATGATTTTTAATACATCCCTATCCTACTTTGCAGGTTTATTTATCTACAGAGCCAATGGCAAGGTAAGGTTTACTTTGACAATTTCTAATACGAGGGACGCACCGGAAGTAATACCTCCCACTAATTTTCACACACACACAGAAAGATAGAGAGAGAAAGAGAGCGAGAGCGAGAGAGAAAATAGAATGAATAGAACAAATTTCCAGTCACAGAGCGCTATTTTCTTACGAACATCTCTTCCTCAGCTGGTTATGCATTTTCGCCAGTGACGAAAAAGATCTTGCTCGTAAAATAGCGGAGGCGGCCCACTTCACAGCGACGACGTCGTTGTTAGCAGGAAAATAGCTGCGAAATCCACATTTCAACGTCTGGAAAAAAAATGAAAGACGGAAGGTGCTGCAAGAGTTCCACCAAAATTTGACCAACGATTTTATATATATATATATATATATATATATATATATATATATATATATATATATATATATATATATACACACACACACACTACAATGATGTTCACCCTGTACAAGACCTAAAGTTCAATCAAGGTACAGTGTTACAGAGTAAGAGGCACCATTTATGTGTGGAAGATAACAGTTAACCCTAGGTTAAGATTGTAGTGATCAGGGGAGCAATCTCTTTGCAGTCGGTTCCACATGGTAGTGCTTTGTGAGAGGAAGCGGCTTGAATAGAACTTACATCTCATTAAGGGAATATGAAGGGAAAGAAGGTGGTTTGCTGCAATGTGCGTGGCATGGCAGGTCTTAGCCGTGAAGGTTAGGACTGGTGAAACGAAGAAGGAGTGTAGTTTGAACACGCTCCATGAAAATAGCAATGGAGCAGCGGGAGGCATTCGGTGTCGTGTCTGTGAGAAAGTGGTGGAAAAATTTTGGACTAGTGGAAGGTGAAGACTGGGCAGCTCCTGTCTATATATGGCAGTAGTACTCCATTTTCGGTCTGATCTGGTTCTTGTAAAGGTATAGGAGAGCAGGAGGAGTGAAGTACTTGCTGGAGTGTGACAGGAACGGACCATTTCCCGGTATCTTTAGCGATGGATCGTATGTAGAAGTTCCACTTGAGATCTGGGCTGAGTTTAAGCCCCAACAAGCGCTCAAGGCACAGGACTTCCCTGAGGGAACACCAATTCATCGCGATTGGTGAATGTTCTGGGTTCGATCGGCGATGATGGAAGGTCACTAGTTTTGCTTTTGAGGAATTGAATGTCATGTCATTTTGTAAAAATTTTAAAAAGAAAAAAAAAATCGCACATGGCCAAAAATTAGAGGAAAGGGTAGTGTTGTCTTTAATTTTCCTTTCATTAACTTTGCTAATCGTGTTCACTGACCTAAATATTCTTCTGTATGACGTTGCATTTATTCTCAATCTTTCATGCAAAACACATGAAAAATCGCATTCATTCGACAGAAATTTTAAACTTCAATCCATATTTAGAATTTTATATGAAAAGGAGAATAAAACAAATGATTCCCATATAATTAGGGAAATCTAAAGAAAAGCGATACCTAAAGTTTAAAATGAATTTTTAAAAATGAAAAATCTTTCTTGAAGCTTTTATTTTTGTTTTAATTTCAAGGTAGTAGATAACATTTAACCTTTCCTTTATTTCAAAACGAATTTATATCGATTGGAAAGAGTTTTTTTTTTTTTTGGCAGAAAATGGCTGATTTTAGCACAAAGTAATTCTCTTTTAAAAAAAAAAAAAAAAAAAAAAATCTTTCAAAAATTTTTCCAAAACCAAAATACTTTCTGAAACTTTATTTGAGAAATATTAGCTGATTTAAAGTATAATTAATAGCTAAATTTTAATCTTTCGTTTCAGCGATTTTTGCATACCTACGATATATTTTATTTCTTGTTGCTTATTTATTAGCCAAATATAAAACACGTGAAAATATTGCCTTTCACCTCTAGAAGTAAAGACAACCCGTTGTTTGCATGTATAAATTTTGTTTGCCTACTGCTTTTAGTCCCACTAAGCAGATTCGCAATACCAATGAGGAACCTGAGAGGAAGGCATTCCTCTCGTTTTCTCCAATAAAAAATTCTTGCTGTTTTTCAGAGATAAATATATTATGCGAGATGCAAAAATACCGAAACTTATTTTTCGATGGAAACGCAAGAATTTTGTTTTTCTACCGCAGTATGCAACTCGAAACAAATTGATGCTGGGTTAATTGGCATATAACCGAAATGGATTTCAACATTTTAAAGTTATTTTTTAAAGTGTTATTTGCATTTAGTTTAATTACACAAATTCCTGAAAAATAGCGACTCTTACTTTTAGAAATCACGGATTATTTATTTGATTTTTTTTTGGTTTAGAACTACAAATAAACTCTCAGACTAAAAGTTCGAATCTATTTGCTACAATATGTTCCTAAATACCAATAACTTTTTTTAATATAACCAGGGAATTGCAAAAAATGTAAGTTTAGTCAAGCAAAAAAAGTAATTAAAAAACTAACAAGTAATTTTTTTTTTTTCACAAGGGAAGTTACCATTCGTATGAAAAAAAAGCAATGTTTTCCAGCAGTAATTTTGTATATGGACCAGACTGTATCTGTCTATATTTCTGAGATGAGGTATTATGTACAATATTTACGTTAACGTTACGTTAGGAGATAACTGATATTCATTAAACATGGCACGTGGAACTAGAATAGTCTACCCCATTGAGCGAAATAAAAGGTTCAGTTCAAAAACATAGAAGTCTATATCGGTTCTTGAATTTTAAATCATAAATTTAACCCATTAACTGCCAATTTTTTTTTAATGCGCATTTTTGGCCCAGACAGGAGTTTTAAAAGTTTATTTATTCCTTATGTTTAATTTCAGTAGTTACCATTGTCGTTTTTATAGAAACTAGAACGTCAATGTGTATAAAACATCAAAAAATAATATTGATTGGAAATAATAAAAAAATACGTTTCAAAATAGTCATTTTTCTACTCGTGAAATTTAAAATTATGATAGAAAGTGTCTTCTTACGGCTAAAAATAAAAACTTGAAAGGCTAAGTGTTGTAAAATATCCCTCTGCAAATGGAATGTATGTAACATGTAAGCAATTCAATGTAAATACAAGGAATAACATATAGCGAGTTTAATTTTAACAGATCCCCAAATCATGCTCATGGCAGGTTAACGTTATAATACGCACTTTAAGTGGGCATTTAGAAATGCCGTATATAAAAGGCTTTTAATATTTACAGGTCATATTGAAGAGGGGAATAGATGGAAACTGAGTAAGCTAACTAATGAGTAACGGTAAAGAGTCAAACGTTACATAGACTAACAAGGGACATGAAGTAGTGGAGAGCCATGATCACCCACGGGACGTAGCACATAAAAGAACATATACGTATTTACACTATTTACATTGTGACAAGGATGAGGACAACATTTCGAACATTCACAATGTTGTACGCTCCGGCCTTCTTCAGATGATATTTGTTTGAAATTCGAGCCGAACTCAGAACAGTCAGTGAATCTGCATGTTGGCGTTTCAGAAGATTGGTTCGATGACTGTTCTGGGTTCGATTCGAAATTCAAACAAATATCTTCTGAAGAAGGCCTCAACGTACAACGACCGAAACGTCGTGAATGTGACAAAGATGAAGACAACAGTCTGAACAATGCAAATAGTGTAAATAGTTACAATACCTCAATATATATTTCAGATATATACACAGATATTGAATATATACATTTTTAAAGTTGACCCCTAAAATTCCGAGATGTTGAATCTGGCTTAGGACTACACTGGCAGGACTCATTTACTTTACGTTTAAAGCCTAAATAA